TAAAGGAAAGGAACAAGATCATTACAAAAACCTCAGTATTCTCTCAGTCTTATAATGTTTCTGCTCTGAAGACAGAATTCCCTATTAAATACTCTGAAATGTCTAACGAAAGCTGTAGCTGCAATTTTGATGATATTTGCAATTGAGAAGCCTCTAGCTATTCTAATTGTTTCACCTGCTTGAAAAAGGGATAAAGGCCAGAAAAAAAGGTCAAAATGAAATTAAGAGATAAGCAAAAATTAGAGATGAGGATGCTACATTTAGCTCAGTGAGAATTACAGAGTATTTTGAGGTCAGGGTTAATACCTAGTGTCTGAGCTCTACACCAAGAAACTGCTGCAGATGATGGATTAGGTTTACTGGCATATTTTAATAGATTGGGGCAGCAAGGATTCCTGGTAATATTTATCTCAAACATCAGCATTTCTCTATTTCTAATTAATCTAAAGCTAACTTGACATATTGTCAGAGGTTTAATGAAATTTGATGCCATCTACTGAGCACCATCAATGACAACTTTACTTGGGAAAGAAGAAGAAAAAACTACAGTTAGTTGAAAAGTTAAGACAGGTGTGGCCAGTTAGAACATCTGAAACAAATAGGTTTAAAATCGGAAGTAGTGTGGTAGCAGATTTAACTACTTCTATAAACAAGCAACAGAATAGTAATGAGGACTCACTGAGCACAAACAATGTTTTTGATCCTTGAGCTGGGAACAGTTTCTGTTTTCAGTCCTGCACTGGTATCCTGCACTAAACTTTTATTCCAGTGTTAGACAGAATCAGAAAGTTACTCAATACAAATGAGCATACGAGAACATTACATAATATCCCTTGCAGTTCAAAGACAAAGAACAAGGAAGAACATACAAAGGCACGGAAGAAATTCCTCTCATCTAAGACATCAAAAGGAAGAAAGGTCTGGGATAGCTGTAAAATATTTGAATAGAATTTCCTTCTACAAATAAAGACCTTTCCTTATAGAAACACTTCTGCAAATGCAGTATGAAAAAAGTTAATTCTGAAAATTCAGGTATAATGGAAGTATTCAACATATGACATCGAATTGCTGCATAACAAAAAAAGAAATCCTTGACATCTTCTGCATTTTGAATATTTTCACGTTTTCCTGATTAGCATATTTAATTTATTCAATTTTATACAATCCATCATACATATTCATAAATATTTTGTTTGGGTTTAACAGTAAATAAAATTAATAGTGTGTCCCTAATTTAATCTTCTTGTCTGATACAATATATCAAATTTAATTTGCCTCTGTAAATAATGCTTGGAAGGGAATTTTTTCAGAGTTATGCCTTTCAACACTTTTCTTGTAGGTAATGGAATATATAAAAATAAATCACATTTCACACAAGCATTTTATGGTATGCCATCACCAAATATCCAGATAAGCTCAAACCTTAAGTATTAAAATGAAACAGTTAACTTGCAGATAAATCTTCAAATCTTCTCACCTAAAAAATTATTTTTAAAGGCCTAATGAACTGTTAGGGATAAGAACTGAAAATTGCCATATATTAGATTCTTTCTCATCTTTAAGATAAATACAGATTTATTTTAGTTGGACATAAAAATAAATTCCAGTACTCTGATTTATTATCTTAAATCATAGAAAGGTTAACTATAATAATGCATGAAGATGTGCCTTTTTTTACCCTCATTGCCTAGGGAAAATGTGAATATATTTCCCTCACTTAAATAAAATACATGGCTGAACTGAGATTAAAATTAGAAATGTATTTCTGAACATATGAATATGACAGTACTGACTATATTTAATAGCTGATGACTATAACTGTTGTGCTTGAGTTGGCCTTCCATTCTCTAAAATAGAATTCTTTATGTATCACACCACATTGCTGAATACTGTTAATCTTCAATATATTTAACATAGTAGGCTAAAAAAAAAATTCTTGTGGGTTTTACTTCAAGAAAGTATGTTTGAGACAGTCAGTTTGGTCAGACATTTTTTTGGCCTATTTTGGAAAAAAAACCACAAACAAACCAACTCACCTCAAAACAAGACAGAAATTTTGTGGAAATTTAAAATGCTTCCTGTCATGGGAGCTACATTTTAAGACATAAGCTAGAACCTTTCATTCATAAACATTTAAGAAGGAGATAATTTAAATTCTCTTGTTTGACTGGCTTTTTGGGGTTATTTATTTTGGGTCTCTTTTTGTTTAGGTGTCCATGTATTGCCCCCCCCACCTCCCAAATTAATATGAGACTGTATAATGGACTTTGCTAGGAGTCTACAAGCTACCTTTTTTTATTCCTAGGCTGTATGTGACACTAATACACTCAATATAATTTCTTTACTATTAGAATAATTTTGAACTTAAAGAATTTCTGTTATCCTCTGTGGCTCACTACACAGTTTTCAAAAGTAATGCATATTCAGCACATACAGCAAGAAGAGTCAGGAGTGAAGTTTGCACACACTGTCAACAACTCCTAGTGACCAAATGAAATATGCAACTAAGCTTCTTCTCAGAAATTAGGAACATCAGAGAAGTCAAGCCACTACTGGGAAGAGAAATCTGAAATATTATTTGATAATTATGTAGCTGCCAAGTACTATTAACACTTTCTCAAAAAAAAAAAAAACAACAAAAAAAAAACAAAACAAAAAAAAACAAAAACAAAAACAAAAACTTTTTTCTTAAGTAGATACTGTTAGTATCTTTTCTATCTCTTCTTCTGACACCCAAAGGTTTGTTCATTTTGGCATTTCTGTGGACTGAGAGCTTTACAGATCATGAAAGCAAAGGAAAAACTCATGCAACATCTACAAGTGGAAAGCTTTATTGTGAGCAAAGAAGACGGCTTCATTTTTCCTTGAATACCAAACTGAGTATTCCAAATATAGCAGGAAATCTATAGATTTATTTTGAAGACTTTAGGGGAAGAAAAGCAAATTTAACAGAAATGCAGTAAAGGGGAGATTTCACATGCTAATTCACCTGGAAAGATTTATTCCTCACTTTTCAAGAGGTATTACCAAAAAAAGAAATCAAAACAGTAGAATGATAGGTGTTTTTTAAATTCCTATTTTTATTGTCAGTAAGGCAAAGAAATTCTCAGCACATACCTAACAGAGACTATTGAAACTGCGTAAAAAAAAACAAGTCATTGAATTATGACAACTCTACTACAATATCCAGGTAAATATTTCTTCTACCATACTCAGAATTGATAGTGTTGGCATGTTCATAGCTACAATGTGACACCACACTTTTTCAACATGCTCAGAAGGTTACTTAATCTCATCACATAGGGACACAAACTACGGTGATACTACTGAAATGCTATTGCTACATAACTGAAGATTCTGCAGCACCTGCAAAATTATCTTACCACAAAACCCCACGAACACCTACTAGTAGAAATAATGGAATACTAGAGGAAAATAAGGGAGGTATGGGAAATACCAGTAAATCCAAAATTCTTGTGAGAAAATCCAAAATTCAGGGACAGTTTCATTATAAGAATATATAATTTTGACTCTTAAAACACATGGAGAAGGTTAGCACTAAAACAGTACCAATCATCTGTGGAAGATACATTTCCATTCACCTTCTTAACCTTTCAGCTGGGAGGCCTGGGTGTTGTAAACAAAGGATAAAGTCACCTGTCCTTCTCTAATTCAGAAGTTTCCTAGCTGTATTGAATCAAAAAGGCACAGCTGTGGAATTAGAGCTTTTCCCATAAACCTAAATGCATATAATGTATTTGAGAAATTTTTTTGGAAAATGAAACACATGAAAAGCATTCAATTGTGAAAGCCAATAAATTGGTATTAATTATTCAATCAGTTTTTTGGATTCCTGATACTGGAACTGTAACACATCAAGAGTAGTAATACTAAATTTATTATTAACAAAAACAAAAAAAAAAAAAAAAGGAAAAAAAAAAGGAACAGTTAAACTCTTCAGTTGATTTGTAATGATTTAGTTACTCCACAACCTCCACAGTTTTCATTGCCTCACAACTAGGGAAATATAAGTGCACGCAGAACTGACCTGAGCTACAACACTGGGGCTCAGGGGCCCAGTGTCTGTTAGGCGGGATTTAAGGCACATCCGCTACCACCTCTTTGCAACGTCCCAAGGACAGTACATTTCATGCAGAGGGAGAGATTTGCTATGAGTGCTGTAGTTCAGGAGAATCTGAGAAATACGCATTGCAAGAAATCAAGAGAAGAGAGAGTGAAAGCACATCATTTATAAAACAGCTTGACTGAGCAAGTAAGTCTGATTACCTGCACTGTGCAACTATTGTCATGACGGCTCAACGGGGAGCACGTTCATTTGTCACTTCCACCTACCATGTCTCAAGACATACAAGTGTTACATTGAATGCATCCCTCAGCAGTTGGTTTGCAGCCCGCTTTCTGGCACGTCTCAAATCCTTAAATAAATGCTCAGGACTATGCTCACTCCTCTCTATCACCCTATTTCTAACCTCTTTCAAAGTGTCTGCACACCAGCTTTAGCTCACTGGCTTTGCGTTTTCCCAGGTTACTCTCCGTTACAGGTATTTGCGCTTGAAATAGGTGAGAGTGCTCCTCCCGGGGCTCCACGGCCTGCGGGACCCTGCCAGGGCCAGGGTGCTGCCAGAGGGGCATGACCCAGAGCGGGTCAGGGTGGTATAAGGAGAGGGAGAGGTGGAGCGGGGTAGGGTGGTGTAGGCAGAGCGGGACAAGGTGTTGTAGGAGGAGCGGGACAAGGAGCTGTATGGAGGGCGTGTGAGGGTGCCGTAGGCGGTGCGGGTGGATGAGGAGTAGCCTGAACGCCCCTCGGGGCTCCACAGTGACCGGGAGGTGGGAGCCCACTGGGAGCCCAAGCGAGTGGTGGTGTCATAGGAGGGGCCCCACTGAGAACCACACAATGAGCGAGACCCCTGTGTGCCCACAAACCGGGAGATGGAACGAGAGGTAGGGGCACAGAGGGAGTGGGCCGTGACAGCTGACAGGGGGCGTGGGGATGGGGGGCACGGGAGGCAGGCTGCTGCCGATGACTCCAAGGGGTGAGCTGCAGGAGAGCTGGCAGGGCGGGCCCCCATGGCCCCCAGAGAGGCAGAGGTAGGGGAGCACAGCGAGTGGGCTGCGGGGGGCCCTACTGGGCGTGGGGCCGGAGAGCACAGTGAGTGGGCTGCTGGGGGTCCCACGGGACGGGGGGCTGGGGAGCTCCCCATCTGCAGCCCTGTTGGGGTGGTGCTATGGTCAGCAGCGCGGGGCACCGGGGAAGCCGTTGGGCAGGGGCTTGGGGAGCACACACCGCGGGCTACCGGAGCACTCAGGGGTTGGGAGGCCAGGGTGGCCATTGGGCCACATGGAGGCTGGGTGGTGGGAGAGGGTGTGGAGCCACAGACAACATGCGAGATGGAAGCACCAGGCACTGAAAGGGGTGCTGCAGGTGGCATGGGACTGCCAATGGTGTGGACTACTGGAGAGCACATAGAGTAGGATGGTGGAGCAGACATATGGGTAGGGACTGCCTGGGTTGCCACAGCAGGACTGGGGCCAGCCATGAAGTGGGTCAGCAATGCACTCACCGCATTATTCGCGGGGACAGAGACAGAATAGGACATCGGCCCCCCTCCAGCTCCAGGCAAATGAGTGGGAGCAGGACCTGTCTCAAAAACCACGTGAGGCATAGGAGTACACACAGGGTTGGATGTTGGGGCAGGCACGGAGCCATACATGGATGAAGGCATTGGAGTACACGTAGCAGGAGGCACAGTCTCGCATATGACACGGAAGCCAGGATCACATCCCATCTCAAAACCAGAATTGATGCTTGGATTGAATCCTTGGTTGCAGATGGAGTTGCATAAGGGATGGCCTGCAGGGAGGTACACGAAGTCGTACACAGGCTGGCCCCCTGCACTGCAGTTTGGGTTGCACACTGGGATACATATATATTCACACATGGAGTTGAACGCAGGGTCTGCCACAGGGACAGGCCCAGAGCCATTCATGGGGACAGAGCCATTCTCACACACTGGGACTGACCCATTCTGGCTGACAGGCAGGACACCGTTCTGGCCTGCAGAGCAACACACTTCAGCCTTGGCACATCCCTTGCAGTAGGCAAACTTGTGGCATCCAAAGTTGGCCAGGAGCCGGTGGCTGCCAAGCCTGTAAGGTGTGAACTCCACAATGGTCCGTGCTTGTTGGTTGGATGCCAGCGTTCCCAAACTGGAGCAACAGAAGGAAAAGAATTAGGACCCTGGGTAGCTCAGAGACCCGAAGCACTACAAGATGAGCACACAAAACTGGGTTTGATTTGCTACAACAGTTTTAGAGACAAAGTGTTTTGATAACTTTTTATTCTTGACTTCCTCCAAAAAAGCCCACATTCTTTGTTTTGGAAAGTGTGGTAAAAACTTCTGTCCCAAGAGAAAATTTAGAAAACTCCTGTAGTCAATTCTGTAATTGGAACTGGAAAATAATTTGTGATATTGTCTTGAATTCTTCAAAAATGTAGTGCCCTTCTGCCTCAAAGATGTATTTACTGCTTCCCATTTCCAGCAGTCTAAGTTTGATCAGGCAGTTTTTTGGAATTGACTTCATTATTATTCAGTGAGAACAATTCCTAATTGCTTCCCCTCAAAACTAGTCATACTTTTGTCAGTTCTCCTTGTCACAAAGAGCAGCAATGCATATTAATGAACAGCTACTTTTCCTAGGAAAACTAACAGAAAGTTTCCAGTTTCCTGTGATTAACGTTATGAGTTTAGAATGCATATTGCTATTTCTCACTGTCATTCTCTAATTGTTCCTATATGTGGTGCCAGTTCATGAATATTTAGAGGAATTATATTAAAAGTCGATAGGACTGTAAGGGGCTCAGTTAGCACTTCTTGTAAAGACAAGAGTGAATTCCCTTTCAGACAGGAATTTGATATATCTACTTAAATTAAATCTTGAGAAAAAATGAAGCAGCAGTGTATCTGCCAGCTTTAAATGATCCATCAGTTTCAAGAGGAGTGAGGCTTTTAATGGAGTCTCAGACTAATAAAGGACAAAAAGTCATGTTCGGATGGTAAACACCAAAAAATCAGAACTAATGTCTTCTTTGAAACCTGCTATGATCTTGCACACCTTAGTCACCCCCCAATATTATCCCCATTTAAATAACTGATGATCTTACTCAATTGTCATTGGCTCTTTGAATAAACCACAGCCTTCTAATGTCATTACACAGTTCTTCATATCTTCCTGGAGAGGATTGCAGAAGGAGATCTCTGCAGTACATGGTACCTTTAGTCTGGGCTGGCTCAGTAGCTAGTCAGAAAATAAACACATTTTTTGTTTTGTAACCCTTAGAAAATTAACACTGAAGTAAATAAATGTAAGGAATAAAAAAAAAAAAAAAGGTGTTATTCATACATGTTTCTCTCTGATTTACTTCTATGATCTCTATAATTTAAGCCAACTGTTATACTTTAAAAATCATGTTGACCTTGTTAAAATAAAACATATAGTAAAAAAAAAGAAAAATGTGAAGTATTTCAAGATCGTTGCCCTTGTACCTAGGAGATAGCCAATAAGAATCCTTAAGTCTGATCCTTAGATCACAAATTCCATAATTGGAGTTCTTTACCTTTACAATAACAGGTGGTCTGTTGATCACGATATCCCTGCTCACCATCAGAACTTCTCCACACTCTGGATCTGAGACAGCAACTACTTTCATAATGTTGTGATCACACAGGTAAGGTCCATATTGACTATACGATATACACAGTGGAATTTTTTTTACTGTAAAACAAATTAATTTTTTTACAAGGAGATTAGTTTATTATTATTATTATTATTATTATTATTATTATTATTATTACTCAAAATTTGGAAACTTTCATTCCAGTGCAATCTTCAAGGAATAATTCAAACGTAGGTAAATTAAAGCTTAGTAAAATAGAATTTTAATATCAGTGTAAAATTTTGTCTTATAATGATGTGGTTTTTTTCCAGAAAAAAATATATTAACCATGGAAACCGGTGTTTATGTTCTGCTACACCTTTGCACTTCCCAACATATGGTATGTCTAGGTACTCTAAGCGAGACTTTTACACTGGCTAATATCTTCTGGCCAAAGAAAATAATGCTTTTCTGACAGAAAACTGCAACTTAATCTTTGTATTGAGTATAGAGACCAGAATTGAAATTTTATTGGAAACAATTCTTTAAAGAATCTGTAAGATTTGAAAAATTAAGGAAAGACTACAGTGTACCTGTCACTCTACATGTAGTATTGATGCTGTGTTAATTTTTGAGTGATCACCCTACAGGGAATTCAGCTGTCAGTATTTAACACTGTATACATTTCCCTTCCCTTCACTTCACCTCTATTAAGAAGTCTCCACAAATCCTAAATCAGCAATCTCCTGAAAAAAATAGGGTATGAGACAATTTCACCTTCTTACCTTCTCTTGGACCCAGTGTGACATTCACACTGTCTTTCCAAAACTGATCCATTGGGCAACCACTATAGGTTATAATTTGTGCGCACAAATTAAACTTCAGGGTTTTGTTTTCATTACGCAAATTTTCAAGCAGCCAGTGCAGCTGGACATCTTCACCATACATTGGGCAGTTAGCCATCTTTAACCTCATGTTGATACCAGAGTCACTCAAAAATGGGTTTTTCAGAGATGATAACTCTCTGTCAATATGACAGTTGGAAGCGTTACAGTACCCTGGGTGAATTCTTCTGTAAGCCCGGTAATAGGCTTCTTTGTTTTTCACAGAACCTGTTGAAGAAGACATGATAATGAATATGCTGGAGGTACATGAAGCCTATTATTATTCTACCCAAATAATAAAGATAATTAAATTTATTGCTGCTTCTTCTTGGAACCTAAAATACCCAGTTGGTGTAGCACAAATCCACCAGATAATGAAACACGAGATACAGCAGTCTGAATGCACAGAAGAAAATAAATGTCTCATGAAATAAAAGTTTAAAAAAATTATTTTACTTTTAAGTAGTTAAATTTAAAGATGGTCATGTAAATCTTAAAATGTGTGGTTAGTAAAACTAAAAATATAATTCTTTATAAGGATAAGGGTGAATATGGAATCCTACCAGGTCTCCCAAAAGGCAAAATACACCATTAAAAAAAAGAAATTATCACTTTTTTTCTTTTTTGTTCCTATTAAAAAGAAAACAAAATAAAAACATGCAAACACATAAAAAACACACACTAAAAAATCCCCAACCAAGTAACCAAAAAAAAAAAAAAGAAACCCACAGAGCCTGCAATTGTACAATCAGCTGTGACGCACCCTTCATTCCTTTAGGCAATTCTGCCTATTGAAATCCTCCCTTCTACTGGAATATGAAAATCAGTAATCCATAGCGCAAAGTAAGAACAGCAGAATATTTTAATAATATGTGAATTTAGTAAGTAGGCATATTTTCTGACAGACCTGGTACAAGAAGCAACAAGACATTAATCCTAGGTTTAGAAGAATTTGTGGGGGTTTTTTAGATTCTCTCAAGTCTGGTAATATTTTAAACTACTGTACAGGTGAGACAAAAATATGTACATATGAATGGTGTCATTCAAAGGGCTGGAAGGTATGTCCTTAGAGCAGCTAAGGGCTTAGGGTTTGTCTAGTTTGGAGAAAAGGAGACTGAGGGCTTATCTCATTGTCCTCTGCAGCTTCCTGATAAGGAGAAGCGGAAAGGAAGGTGCCGAGCTCTTTATCCCAGTGTCCAGTGACAGGAAGTATGGGAATGGTTTAAAACCATGCCAGGAAAGGTTTAGACTACACATTAAGAAGTATTTCTTTATTGAGAGACTGGTCAAACGCTAAAATAGACTTCCTAGAGGGGTGAGTTATGTCCCATGGTTGTCAGCACCTTAAAAAGAGGCATATGGACAATGCCCTTAATAGTATGTTTTAATTTTTAGTCAGTCCTGAAGTGTGAGGCAGTTGGATGAGATGATCATTGTAGGTCCTTCCAACTGAAACATCCTATCCTATCCTAAATGCATCTAATTACTATGTGCTTTGTTTGAATCATCTAAACACACTTAAGTTTAAGAATCAAGATCTTTGAACAGAAAAGAACCTTCCTCCTTCTCAAAAAAAGAAAAAAAGAAAATTTCAGATTATTCTACACATTTTAACACAGGAGAAATTACATTGATATTTTTATATGATTAGCATATAAAATTCCCTCTAGCCCATTTAATATACTTTCATCATACCTAGTTCATACTTGTAAGCTCCAGTGATATCTTCAAATTGCTCACTGCCAATACTCTTGGTGATTAGACGCTGTCCACATGGCCAAGTGTCACAGAAAAATTTTGTTCTTTTGCCATTGTTTTGGGAAAGCCAGCCAACATAGTTCGAATTTACTCGAGAAAACATATGATGACCATCATAATCCAAGTCCAGTTCCCCTTCCCTGATGCTTCGAACCCACGTAGGACCACTGCAAGCTGAACCTTGGCCACAGAACAAAAGTGTTATAACACATTGTAACCTGACTACAGAAACTCAACAACATAACACGAGGAAAATGATTACAACTATGGTAAACAGTTACCTCTGCCAGTTTCCAAGGGTGTTGGATCTAGACACTGCCAATCACCACAACACTGATTTATGTCTCTGCGAGCCATCCAAGATTCATTCCAGCAGTGATATCGCCTGTAGGATGAAGGAAGACATTTCTTGGATTATCACGTTTAATGCCTTACAATAGAGAAGAACCATACCAGAGATAATATTTTAATCAACAGAAGTCTTTCTATGTCTTAACACTGTTAATGATGTTTGGGGATAGGAGTGGTTTTGTTTGCTCAGACTGGAAATTTGCTTCAGAACCCCACAGACCTGATTGTAAGATGTGCTTCTTTTAGCTGATAACATGCCAACACAGTTCTTTTGTTTAAACAGTTTCTTTTCCTAACGCTTTCCTCCTGATTCTTTAGATTAAAATCATATACTTAGTTATATTTTTAATAGCTTAACAAAATATAAACCCTTAAGTATTTTATGCTAAAATCGGATCCTCATTACCCTAGTATTTCAGTTTGACCTCACCTTTGTGACATGTGATATGGTAGAAAATTCATTAAAAGGTCTCACAGATGAGATTTGGACACAAAAAAAATTTCCCATGATCTACCTCATACTTTTACAGTTACTAAGTTTGATAGCCTTATATTTCAGCTGAGAATAAACAACCAGCATGGATTCTCACAAGAAGCTTTGCTTTTTTCTTTTTTGAAAATATACATTAAGTGGACTGCCTCTTTAGTAATTTCAAGTTTTTGAAATGTATTATTAGAAAACTGAACAGCCTTACTACACCAGAGAAAGAGAGAAACCAAAGAGATACATTGATCTGCTAGATATCCCAGTTTTTCTATCATTAAATTTTTTTAAAAGAGCAAAAGAGTTTTATATTTTTCTTATTTACCATAGCTTGTCTTTGCCACACAGGTTTTTGCCAGTACAGTCAAAAATCTCATTGATACCAAGGGGATTCTCAGTTGAGCATGGAAAACAGAAATTCGTTACAACACGGCTTGGAATTCCCAAACACCTCATCACTGAAAGAAAAAAAATATGATTGAGTCATTATAAATCACAATTAGTTAGGCAAATCCTTCACCCATTTTATAAATAATTATTGTATATCCTACTTTGCAATTATAGAAACAAAATGGATTAGAGGCAGCATTTAGGATGCAGTGATTCTGTCTTCAAAACTTGTTTTTAGTTCTTGCAAAGTAGTCTGAAAAAAGCCTAGCAAAAAGGAACGGCTTGTTACTCTTCCAACCTAAAAAACCAAAAAAAACCCAAAAAAACCCCCAAAAAACCACAAACCCCCCCCCAAAAAAAAAAAAAACAACAAAAAAAAACCCCAAAAAACAAACAAACAAAACAAACAAACAAACAAAAAAACCCAAAACACAAAAAAGCCCAAACAAAACCCAAACCAGATCTGTTTTAAGTTCAGAAATCATTAACCTGATTCTGCATTAACAAAACACCATTTTTTTCTTGTAAACAATGTGGTACAAATCTATGGCATTTCAATTTATCTGTCTTCAATGTACAAGCTGGTTCAGTAAATAAATGGTATAATTTTGGAACTCAAATCTTTTGCCTGTACTGTTTAATCCACTATTATTCTTTGCAGTAAAAGGAGAAAATAGCCTGATGTTTTTGTGTTTTGGAGAAGACATTGCTAGAGAACTTCTTCCTGTTCATAACTTAGTGTTTTTCTCATCTTTCAAACTTAACCCAAAGCATAAATTTTGGCTCCATGGTGGTAGTTGGACTAGATGACCTTTAAAGGTCCCTTTCAACTCCAACTATTCTATGATTCAAGATGCTACATTTGCTGTGTGTTTTAGTAAAAGTTGCAGTATTGATAACTGCATAGTATAAAAGTCGTAGAAAAGACAGAACTGCTTTTCTTGTTCTTCAGCCTGTATAGGAAAGCAATAGGTTGATAATAAACACTATATTAGGAGCATGATAAAAATATTCGATTTATTTTCCCAGTAAAATGCTTACAAGTAATATTCTTCAAGTAGTTTTTAGAGTCAGAGGTTTTTGATCCTTGTTTTCTCTCCTCTGTTTTGATTAAACTAGATATGGGCAGACTGAAACATCATACCTGTGCACATTACTGAAGCAAGAGACCCACAGTACCCATATCTGACAGGCCTGCATCTGCCATTGTACCACTGCTGAAGAATAGGGACACTTCCATTCCAGGAAAATGGCTTTGTTCCTTTCAGGTAATCATTGTTTTCTGGAATCTTCATGATACTGTTAGTGGTATGGCTGCTTATCTAGAAAGAGAAAAGAAAAACAATCTTTTCAAAGAGCTGACTACATCTTCACATCCTAAGCATGCCTCAAAATCATCAGAGATTAGTGTTACAAATTTATATTTCTTGTGAATCTGAGCACAGATTACAGTGCAGTTTGTCCTTCCATAATATAATGAAGCATGACCTGATGTATTCAAAGGTCTCACACCACTAGAGTCTTACCATATGATTTACCACCATGCTAACATGCACAGGATCATTGCGCCAACAGTGGTCACGATCAGAGCCATGATGGTAACTTGCACCCATATCTAAGATCTTCAAGCAAATATCCAGTATCCCATCTTCAAACTGAGAAAAGAGAGGTTAACATAGGCATCGTAGTATTATGTCATTGATAAATTATCTTTCTTGTCAATAATCCAGTCTTTCTACTTATATGAGTTGCTCTCTCTCTCCTTCTGCCCTTTCATCTCTTTTTTTTTTTTTTTTTTTTTTTTTTTTAATCAAGCACAGCCCCTAGTGGTCTGAATGGTTTTGTCTATCTGCCCAAAGGAAAACAAAAGGGAAAAATATGTCATTTTTACTTATTTTTTGATCACTAGAATAATTTTCCTTTAGAAGCACAATATTTGTTTCACCTGTTCCCTGAACATTCTGCAGTTTCCTTAATTTTACTACAGAAAACTTCCTTCCAATTACTTGGGCTACAATGAGATTTTCAGACGTTTTGTTTTATGTATGCATAGGATGGACTGATCCTAAAAACCTTTGCACTACAAATATAGTATAAGTTTCTGAAAAAATACAGATAATGCATCACTTATCAGTATATGGATGACATCTATTTCTGAACAAGTCTTCAAAAAGTACCTGTCCAAAGTGCCATGGTCGAGAAGTAATATGCTTGTGAACTCCTTCATACAGTATTCCATGCTCATTCAGAACATATTCTTCTCTATGGGCCTGATTGTCCATATATACAGGGTCATCTGGAAAAAATGCAGAGCTATAATTCAGACAAAACA